CTTGAGATCAGTAAAAGGCTGTTATTACAGATTGCATCTCCAGATGCTATTGTCAGAAGCATGTACAATGATAAAATGAATAAGAAATATCAACAAATCTATTTTGTACATCAAGAACATTCATCACTTGCAGATCTCATAAATAGAATCCCTCCTCAAGATCAAACATTGTTACAGGTAAAAGTAGCACTTTAATTTGTCAGTTTTAATTTATTTTGGCAATCGGTAATAAATACTCATTCTCAGTAACAAAAATTGCTAAATTAAAAACCACTAATTACAATTTTACACCAAACAAAGTGCTATACAGTGAATAACATAATTAGCTTTAATGTAAGCATACATAATGTGTCTAATTTTTAGGTGACAACTCATACTCCAACTCTCTCACAAACTGAATTTGAGGAACTAGGAAATCGCATAGGAATAGATCTAGAAAACATGACTAGAATTCATTTGGAAGCATTTCAAACTGAGCAAGACTTTGTTAATAGCATTGAGTAAGTAAACAGTAATGTAATAAAATGTAGATATATCTTTTTATTAATTGCAGTATGATGATAAGAAAGGATAAGTCCGATGAATCACATTGTGTCATTTTTGAATGTGAAAGAGCTCACGAGAATGGAAATTTAATTTCTTGCTGCCGATATCGTCTTACTGACAAATTCAGAGAAGCTGTTGAGTTAGGCTGTTTAAATACTAGATTTGTTCTCCTCGTTCATTTACCAAAGAAGTGTTTGAAGTCAAACTTTGTAAGCTTTCAGGAGTGTCCTTGGCTATGCTATCATGTTGATGCTATTTTCTCCACTGAAAATTCAGTACCTTTGAATCAGATCCTTAGTGGTGAAGTATGCTCCATGAGTGATATTTATTATGATGAGAAAGATTATGCTTCAATAAATTCTTTGGCTAGTGTTGGTGATATTAGTGACAATCAGTTATTTAAAGATTATCAACTCTTACCATGTACGGTGCCTCAAAAAATAAACCTTTGTAAACGGCTGTATTTACAAATATCAAAAGCAGCATCTAATCCTGAGCAAGTTAGCCAACTGTCACAAATTATTCCTCCAAAAATTCTTTTTCCACTTAGTAAAGGTTAGTAAAGACAATAAAAATACATAGAATGAGCGAATAAATGAATGACAGCAGTATAGTACTTTTTTATCTTTGCCTGGGCAAGGCCAATAAATTGTAATTCTGTTCATAACTCAAAACTTTTTCTACAGATAAAATCACATTTCATTCACAAACTATTCGTCTTATTAAGGGCATACTCAGAGACAAAGAATCTAAAGATAATTCATATGCTAAGCAAAAATGGATACTAGATGAATCTATGAATATGACTAAGCTTCAAGAAGCTGGAACATTTCAAAATGCAGTCGTGAGGAAATTTGATGATATAATAATTCCAATATTTGCTGAAATTATCTCTGTGATTGATAAATATTCCAATTTGAAATTGCTATCAAAAATTGAAACTGAACTAAAACAATTGTGGCTTAATTTATACAACTCTGATTATGTCACACAGCTGATAATGTCAAAGCTTCAGTCTACACCAGATGATATTTTTGGTATTAATGCTGCTTCCACAAAGCAATTTTTTTGTCAGTTTCCATTTTCCTGGATTTTGAATGACATTGTCAATGAAAATTGTAATGAAGGTATACTTTGAAATAAATATTGAGTCATATTACACACATTCTTGATAGATACTAAGGACCTTATTAAGCTATTAAAAGACTATGATTTGTTCAAAAGTTTTGAAAATTTACCAGGAGATATTATCAGCCCTCTTGCTAGGTTTTATGTTCATGATTTTGTTCACCTTATGGACACTAAAAGACAGCCACTGGAAAAAGAATATTATAAGGTACTAAGTAATAGTTAATATATTAGATAATGATTCTTTAGGTTTTGGAGAATTGTATGATTGCTATGTCAGGAATATCCTTTTCTGATGAGCTTGATGTCACTTCACTGTTTCAAGTAGTTGTTAATGTACAAAAGGTTTATTCTGAAAACAAGTCATTTTTTGATTTGTTTTCTGAACTCATAATGTTAGTGCCATCTACTGTTAACAAAATGAGTTTAAAGTCAAATGATTCAAATATTCAGGTAAAATACATAATTTTTAATTTTTAAGGAGATTTTTTTCTATAGATCCTGCTTGTTGAGGCATTGAAAGAAGTGTTAGATAGCCCATTCTTAGATGTTAAAGCTCCAACTGACAAGTGAGAAAGAAGTATCA